TCGTTATGAAAGTCGATATCAGTCAGGAGTCACAAGTTGGGCTGTATAGAAGCTTGGGCTCCGGGCAAACCTACCGCTGCTCGACAGGCGCATCAGCGGTTGCGATATGAGCAATCTCCTGCTTTGGGCCTCCGTCTGCCATGGCAAACCGAGACTATGAGAAGGAGCTTGTTGTTGCTTGTGTCTTATTGTGTGAGTCTTCTTTCTTGTTTCGAATTGGAAGATTTGGGTCTGTAGCTCAGGGGATGCGGAGATGAAAGATGGAAGGAAGGTGCGGGGAGGGAGAGGAAAGAAATAGTGGAGGGAAAAATAATAAAAATGATGTGGAAAATGAAAAAAATAGAAGAATATTACCATATTCACAAGACAGTTAAAAGAAAAAAGAAAATAAAAAAGCATGGCTGAATCCACAAGGAAGATCACTGACTGACTGTTCATAAGCACCTATCCAATGGCGTCACGACCAGATTCACTTTACGCCTGGGCAATTCACGACCGCATGCATCTTTCTCCTGTCAGATATACAGAAAGTACCCACTTCTCCTATTGGTCCTCAAGGGCCGAAGATTGCAAACTATCCTGGAGCTAAAATGCGGCCTAGAGTCAGTGGCTGTGCCATTGCCGCAACTAACTCCTTCGCTTGAGAGTCTACTCAGTAGTATCAATGCTTTTTGCTAACAGTATAAAACTACCAGGATATCATCTGTCCACCAGAAAAGCCTGAGCTTCAAGGCCTGAGCGAGACTGGGGTGTTCCCTTGGCGTGGACGATCAAGGACCAGAGGAGGGACTGGAGACAAAGCGAGTGTCCTAAAGCAGAAAGCTTCTGGGTAAAGTCTAAATTATTCCTCTTTGCATTACGGCCAAATCCTGGCGATGATTATGGCTGCCTCGACGTCGTAAGACGTGCCCAAAGAATGCTCCTAATTCGTCCCGTCAACCACGCGAATTGAGTGTGCCAAGGTGGAACGCCCCACAGGTCCGAGGACTGCGTTTAAGGCTTAGTCTAATCCGGAGGTTTACTCATCAGGATAATGCGGATGCAAGGCTGCTGTGAGCCTGTGATGCTGTCTTCACCAGGCTTCGAGAAACAAAGTTGAAGAAATATCCTCCTGCATGGTCATCCCTTGAGTGACCATACGTCTGGAACCTATATTCCACCACAGCTATCAGGAGATTCAGCGATTATCCGTGCTATGATCGATAGACGTCAGAGACTAACACCAAGACATACCCAGCTGCTGCCGGTCTTCGTGAAATTAAGCCCTGTCCTCGTTCTCACCCCCGCTTCCACCCGTACGGGATCCCGTGTCATACCATTATTTCTTTCAGGCTGGAGGCGTCGCTGAGCCGAGTGCCTGCTGGCTCAACTTCTCAACACGAAATGCACGAGCCAATCATGAGGAAGCAAAAACGCCACTCTTGTTACTTGAGGGAATATCCTTGCCCCGAATTGCCAGGACTGGACAAGATCCTGGACGTTTGACCAAGCGTTATTCGCTAACTCCGTACTCTTGGCCGCTTCCCAGTCCCGTCGATGGCTAGGACTTTAAGCTAGGCCAAGAACAGTCAAGTGCGTTGGTCTAATGGGTCCATCTTGGCAGCCGATGTGACTTTGGGGAAGTCACGGACTCTCAGTCACGGAGTCACCGCCCAAAGGCCCCCAACCCCAAGCCCGAGAGCTTAAGCACATAAGATAGTGGTGGACTGTGGTGGGGTCGGCCTGAGGCTTTGTTCAGACCCAGATTGCAACCCTCCTCTTTCGGACATTATTAAGATCAGGATCCCTGGGATCTCTGTCCGCGTGGTCATGTTATTCCTTGGTAGATGTAATCTCTGACTCTACTCTGCTGTACAAATGTTTGAGCTTTTACTCCGTACAACGTACAAGGAAAAATCGGCTCAAAGACTCGGACAGTGTAACCAAGAGACGAACTCCAGATCAGGAACCCGGAGAAAATCTGGGGAGTAAACCAGATTATGCTTTGGGTTTAGCCTCTCTATCTAGTACCCGCACATTCCAACGAGCACATGGTCATCTGCCTCCTTGCTGACCTTCCCCCTCTGGAATGTGGATAGGCTTAAAGAGACATTTTATTATGAACCCCACCTGAGGACAACTATCTACCTTACTCGGACGGACATCACCGTCGTAATAATACACCGAACGTGAATTCAAAATCTCATGAGTCGCGGCGAAGAAACCACCTTGGAAGAACGAGATCTGACCCCGTTCTCACCCTTTTTTTTGGAGACCAATTTATATGCAGTCTGCAATTTTGCCGAGAGTGAATATTGAATTTATGAAGCTCATGAGTGCTAGTCTACTATGAAATAAGAAATAATAATTATGAGTACCAAAGAGGCTCGAGTGTATCAGGCTATGAGGTTACAGCAACTTCATGCCTCCCTCCGACTATGGATACGGTCTGGCTGGCTGATGGAATTGAATCAACATCAACGCCATGTGGGGAATTTCCCCCGTTTGCTCTTGCCTGGCCTGGTCTGGTGGCTGATGATCGCCAATTTCTCATTAAACTTTTCCCTATTTTCCTTTTTTTTTTGTTCTCATTTTCACCCATACTTCACAATCTGGAGAATTCCGGTAAGTTCCTTTGTTCTGCTGTTTGCAGCTGATGAGAGATTTTAACGACCCTGACCAGTGAATTCAGGACTTGTCTGTTTTCACAGTGGCGAAAAAGCTACGACACACTCATCCGGAAAGTGAGGCTTAAGCCATATGTTTCCTGTATTTATGCATTGCCAAGATGGCCAACTTCGAAATTCCGTTAAATGCCCAATAACCATGCCCAAGTCCCGGCCGGGATGTGGCACAGAAACCGAGACTCCGTTCCCCAGGCAGCATTGAGTATTCGTGCTACACAGTTTCAGCCGAAAACTTTGAGATGAACCCGAACACGACATATCCCGATATCTCGCCCGAGTCACGTTGAACAGCCGGGTCAGACCGTGGCTAAGGTCGCACATGGTGAACTCGAGGCTAGTAAAAGAAAGATAAAAGTACTCTGAGTCAGATGCCTGCAATACTTACCAGGGTAAGGCTGCATGCTGATCCTGCCGATATGGATTGTATGGTGCTTGGAAGCCTTGCGTACTACTTAGCTGTAGTATTCTCTGGGCCTTTGACTGAACTGCGGCTTAACAGGTCAAGCAAGCTCAATGGTCGATATCTATGCCTCATAAGTCTCTTTTGAAAGTAGTATGTCAGGGTCTGCTTCCGATTCGAGGCTGCCAAACTCGACAATGACGATCATGACCTTCTTCAATCTTAAGATCCGTCCTTGGAGCTCTCCAGTCTCGATTCTGGAAGCTGAGTAGATCCCTTCTGAAAACAGGCTGTTCGGAGTTCGACTTCAAAGGGAATTCGAATCTTCTATGCGCGCGTGGTTTACTAGACATTAGGCCTATTGTGCTTCATGGTTGCATTCTACCCTCACTGATATCCAGTAATACTGACGCAAGCTCATCCCGGAACAATACATTCTTGGTTCTACCTCTTTCTCTGGAGCTTCATGAGACACTCCCTTCTGGCTCGTAGGGCCAAAAGGTTAACGATAACCATGCCTGATAACAGTTATGCAAGATAGCTGTCATATTTATCCAACTGCTCTGCAGCATAACTATTTGGCCGGGAATAGTGTTGGTGATTAGGCATGGATCTCAACTAGGTACATCCTATCTGTACTTGGAGCTAAGGTACTTATGCGGCTATGTCCTTTGCCTTGGGTTATTGTTGTTGTAATGGCATAGATTCTCCCACGAGCGTAGCCCTACCTACTAAAAGTCTTCTATGTCTGTACAGTATATATCGGGGACTCGGGGTATCTTTCCCATATTGCTCCCAAGGTGACTTCTTCCTTTAACTAGTCAGACTTAAGGTTCAAAACTGGGAAATATTAGAGAGTGGATATAATATTTACCTCTACAATGATGCTTGTCAAGAAAGTGGGCGAGCAGAAGATATCGACGTTGGTGAGATAATAACCTCTCAGCTGCCATAAACCGTTATTGTCAGATAAAGGGGAGGAATAGGTCAAGGCTCAGGTGGTGGGATCTACGCTGTATTCAACTATGCTGGAGACAATTACGGGACTGGGCATACCCGCTACGCGACTGGAGACTGGAGAGTGCAGTTCTGGCTTTTTCAGGATGTTTCTGGTTTCGCTCTTCGTTTGACTGCCAGGATTCTGATCTTATCTGCTAATAATCGGATAGTGGATTGGATATTTGTTCATCGAATGGTGAGTCCTGTGCCCAAGCTCTACCTGGTGTCCAAGAGCCAACTCTAATGTCCCAGAAATCAGTCCACAGTTTAATCATCACCGTTTTTACATTTCTCATGTATCTGGAATCAATCTACTCGCTGTCGATGACTTGGCATCAGAGAGTTTGGAACTTTCGGACAACTGACCCTCTGGGGAGCTAGGATTGTGGTTGACAAGCATAGGGCAAACCAAGTCAGCAGAACAATTTCTTTTCTCATACTTTTTCTGCATGAGTCTTCAACGAACTGCAATTTGCTCATATACCAATAAACCTGAATAAGGCATATTGCGCTCTGAATATCTGATTGTCTGGCAGCTATTATGCTCATTGTGGAGGCATTTGTAGGCATCGGGATGGATCAAGGCAAGACACTCCACTCTTGCATGCTGTTCATGATTGGGGACGCTCTACAAGTAGAGAAAAGCGCTACAAATGGCTGAACCTCGCCTAAAACTTTCAGTGGAAAATTCTACACTCTTATAGGTCGTGGCCGTGCTGTACTCATTAATCATCTTTGGTCTCCATAGCTAATTACCTGATCAGGCTAGATCTTTCCCGTGCTCCGCATCACGTGCATTAGTTAGACATCCATTCTGGTTTCCGAGATAGAAGATGAGGATCGCTACTCCGTATGAGCTCAGCATCCATATGCGATGCTATTATCACCCTATAATTAATTAGAGGGTGAAATGCACCGCTCATAATTGTTCTAACATGAATTCCACCCCACCAGACCCCCCTTCCGTGCAAGATCTCCTGCGCTCCGGAAAACCATTTGTCCCCTTTTCCGAGTTCTCGGTTCATGGCCTCTGTGACCTAAATCACAAAGAAGCCAATGACTGGTTGGAACGCAGGTTGCAGGAAGAAAAACCGTTTATTATTCATGGCTTTGACAAGCTCGACAATTGGGACAAGGGCATTTTGAGCAGCAAGAGCCTGGTAGACCTGTCTTCCTCGGGATGTACGTCAACAATTGAATACCACTACTTTGATGTACTAGATGCTTACATGGACTCATTGCTTGCAGCAATACCTGTGAGGAACTGTCAGACGGGACGAGATGTGCGTATGAAGCTTGCGGATCTTTTCCAGTGTCAGACGGACCATACGCGAAGTAGCAGTATCCGAGAATCGTATGTCGACCGACCAGCTTCTCGATTCTTCACATTATTCTGACTAGTAGCATGTTCAGTCTATATGCAAAAGATCTTCAGTGTCCGGATGAGTGGGTTAAAGCTTTGAGAGCCATCTTACCATCATCTTTGCAGCACTTGGGTTCTTTGGACTTGTTCCGAGTATTGCCCCGAGAAATTGCGCCAGAGGTCTTGATGGCGTATGCCGGAACCCAGGGATCTTTGTATGTGACCGTCTCGAATGCTGTATGGAATGCATAACTGACGCGATCACTATAGTTCCGGCTTTCATAGATGCTTTAGCGGGACACTTGCTCTCAATCTCGTGATTGAATCCAAAGGTAAATGACTCGGAATCGATTATCGGGACATTTGGAAGGACAAACTAACCGTTCAAAGACCGTCAGCCAGGGTCAATCTGCTTCGGTACTGACAGACAATCGCAAACAAAATATGACGCTTACATGGAGGAATTGGGAAAGTCATCGCATACCGACTGGGCCAATGTTTCGATCGCGCAGCTACGGTCAGCCGATTTTCCCATCTATGTTACCTACCAAGAACCTGGCGATCTGATTGTCTATCCATCAGCAACTGCACACCAAGTTTGGAACATCGGTCCAATGGTTACCAGGGTCGTTTGGAATATCATGCATACATCTTCCGTGGTGTCTTTCTTTGATTACATCCAACCCGCGTATCAAAGGCAATGCCATACAGACACCGGCCGAGTCCCATTGATCCCGTTACATGCACTTAGAGATCCTACTACGCTCAGCGCAAAGGAGCTGAAACTCCTTTTGGAGATCTTCGAGCGGCTGGTCGACGATGATGATACGGGGTCAAATGTACCTGTAAAGCTTGTGGATACTCAAGGTGCCGTGGTGGAATGCAATTATTGTGGACTGACTATCTGGAATCGGCATTTGCATTGTGAGCAGTGCGGGGATTTCGACTTATGCTTGCCTTGCTTTGTTTCTGGGCGAAGTTGCAAACATATTACGGACTATCCCTGGGCAGAGTTGATTCCCAGAGAAGATTGTCAAGCGTTAATCGATGCAACCCGGAAGAACACTGATTTTCTATCCCCTTCAAAACCGAGGATAGCAGAGTAAGTATTTGTGTTGACTTTAAGACTCGTACCTACGATATTCTAATCCTCTTATCCCGGCTGAAAGCTTGTCAGCACAAAGTCCCACGAAGCTGACCAGTCATTCATAGGCAGAAATCTCTGGGTCTTTTGGCTAGAGCTGCGACAGATGCTCGACGACAGTCTATGGTAAGTACGACCCCATTTCAACAAATTTGAACTCAACAATTGACACTTGCCAGGAACGCCTTTGCCATCTGTGCCGAGACAACCATACAGTGTGGAAAGGGATCACGTGCTCCCAGTGCTCTGCGTTCTTCTGCTTCCGTGGTCTCTACAGACATTTTGATATTGATCTCATTCCTCTGCTCCGAAGAGAGGGCCCGTGGGTGTGCCCAAAGTGTTCTCAACGGTGCAACTGCAGATGTTGCCACTTTGCTCAGCCATATCAGAGTAAAGAAAAACCCGTCAGAGCCCGCATCAAGCCTGCCGATCCCCGAGGCCGCGTTATGGGCTTTGTAGACAATGTGTTCGATCAGAAGAGAGGAAAGAGAGCCAGCGCAGGGCCACAAATAACACCTTCGCAGACGGCCATCTCTCTGCAAGGGCGAAAACGGCCTAGACCAAACAGCAGCGAAGGCTTCGAGCAACGACTGCTGGACCGCAGCAGGTTTTCTTCTACGGAGGACACTCAACCGTCTGGCATTGTGAGATCAGAATCAGACAACTTACGGAGCAGAGACACTGCTCAACCAAATATACATCTCGCCAGAGTGCATTCTTATGGGAATCCTTGGCCTAAAGGACAGCTTCGAATTTGTGACCTGGTTGAGAGCCGGGATGAGAGTGCGGCGGCTGAAGGAAGCTCTCGCAATCAGGCCACACAGTACCAGCCTGCTGCACTTCCTGAGATATCAAACCGGCGCGATCACTCTTCAAGAGAAAACAACTCTTCTACAAGTGAAGAGAGTATTCTTATTTTGGAGAAGAGATTGGACGCTCTTCGTCGATATGCGGATGATCTTCTTGAGCTCTCTTTGGTGGAGTCGCATGCTAAAGTGCTTGAAAAGATCACTGCATTTGAATCCCAGATTGAGCAGATCAGGAGGCGAAAGGCCGAAATGCTCTTCAGTAATTTGAATCGGGACTTTCCCGACCTGGCCAACGTAGCCATGGAAGAGGCGCGACGGCGAGGGCTATGAATATTGCATACCATCATCATAGCAATATCTAAATACGCAATAGTGAATCTGGCACACGAAATATCGACCTCAATGGCGGATCGTGAGTGTGGATGTGGAAAAGCAAGGATATATATTTCTGCAATATTGTATAGGCAGCTCGCTGAAGCGATGACTAGCACTATATACTGGTAGAATCGCCTCATCCTTTGTAAAGATGGGCTGCTAAAGCAAACGATCTTTCGCCTTAAAACACAAAATGGTAGTCGATCGACACCATGTTGGTTTGTGTGTCAGACAGTAAGGTGGGCATCTCAGCTCAGCCCACTCTACAAGGCTAACGCTTCTCCCCACCTCTGGAAGCGTACGGGCTGACCTCCCCAAGAATCCGACATAAATACTCACTATTCCTTGACAAACTTATCACAAAACAATTCCATTACGTGTTATTTCAGGATGGATCCCATAGCGGCTACCCAGCTGGCAGCAGATGTGGCAGGCATTTTCCTGAACCTCGTGAACACCGTTAAGGATATTATTGAAACGATGAAGGGCGCCAAAGAAGCCCTCATCGAGCTGATGAGTCGCTGCGAAAGGGTACGCCTATACCTGGAACTGTTTCGGTCACTCACAAGCCGGTTATCCAACCCAGTCGAACGATCCATATCATTATCTTTCAATGATAGTGCGTACCGCCAAACTGCCGACGAGATCCTGGGGTTTGTTCACAAGATCGCGGATGCCTCAAAGCATTCCGAAATCTGGATGAAGTTCAGCTGGGTTTTCTACAAGACCGATGTCACCGCGTTGGTCGGGAAGCTTGAGGCTCGCGAGAAGGACCTCAACCTAGTCCTAACTTTCATTGCAGCGTATGAGTCCTTAAGAAAGGTCCCGTGTATCTGAAGCTGACATGGGCGCGACAGTCAGTCCAGTGTGGTAACTGAGAATGAGATCATTACGATGAAGAGCCGTGCTGAAGAATGGTCACAAATCACTGAAGCTTTTGGCACGACTCATTTGAGTCAAGACAGTAATGAGTTGGGCTTGAAACATTCTTCCGAGCAGGAAAAAAAGGGACATAGCTCACATAAGGGATCGCATAAAGATGGAAAGCAAATGTCCCCCAATGTGATATCAAGCCAACCTTCTCCCAATCCCGCGAAACCAGCACTGTGGCTCGGAAACGTCGTCAAGACCGACTTGGACCCGGCCTATCTCAAAGAGAGAGCGCGGTTGTCCGACGCCGCATACTGGGGAGACTGGCATCGGTTGTTGTCTTCACTCGACACAGGGAGACGCCGCTTTGGCGAGTCATGGTGCAATTCTTTCCGTCTAAGTATGCGACTCCGCGGAGTGCATTGAGTGATGGCTGCTTAATTCTGGACAGGATCAGAAGACGATTTCCACCGACTGAGCCTCTGGACTCCTTTGCACCAGGCGGCGTATATGAATGCGCCGAAGAAGGTGGTAGAGAAACTCATTCGATTCGGGGCTTCCAGTATGATCTTATTCCTATATAAACTACGCTGAATCCGTTGACAATGATGCTAGGAACCCTGCCGACTAAGAAGACCAAAGGCGAGTTCCGTTACCAGGATCTGACGGCCGTCGAGATTGCCCGTGAAGTCGGATACTCAGATCTTTGGGACATTCTAACTCCAGTTATCCGTCATTTCGTTCCTGCGAGGGTTCTAATTGATCTGGAACAAAAGTTCCATGAACTGATACACGCCGAACTGGCTGGCTTTGCTCATCTGGAGTACCTTCGGCTTCCTCAACTGGTGGTGTTGACCGAGCTAGAGAATCCGGAGATGTGGTTTCCAATTCAACCCCCGAGTCAACACGGGAGAGTGCGTCATCTAAGTTGCTCGTAGTTTGGAGCCGACTACTGACTTTGATCTAGGGATTCTTGTTTCGTTTGGATGGTCGAGAACTGGTTGTTCTGAGTGTTGGGAGGAACCCTCCGCAGTCCAAGCAACTCTACCGTGTATCGGCAACTGGATGGATTGCGATACATGATGCAGTCGTGTTTCGACGGTAGCTCTTGGAAAATTGCTTTCTTTCAGCAGAAGTTTTGTATGATATGCTGGTCATGCAATGCTACTGCTTGAAATGCTATGGGTGGCCTGTTTCACTCGCATGTTGTATATATGATTCCACACTGGTGGATATAGACCATCGGTCACGTTTATAGGGAGGGACATGTAGTCAATTCTTGGAATAACTGGTTCACCTACCGCAGCAGCAAACCAGAAGACGTTGATGACTGATGACCACTTCAAGAGTTCCGAGTAATGACAGCATGGCCATGTAATAAACCATAGTCGAGTCCGGTATTTGAGAGTGCTGTCACCTGAAGGTCAGGCAGTCTCATATTCTTATTGCAGTTCCGTTGTTTTGCTGCAGTCCTTTGCCTCGGAGGTTCTCGTGGGTATAGACAGGTACTTGAACCTGTTCCACGGAAAGCAAGCGGACAATCGTCATCGGGGGCCTCCACTGCGGACCTCGCATCACAACCTCGTTCACTGTTCATCACCTGTTAAAGTCACTTTTGCCTCAAATTATCACATGTTCCTGTGGCTGATACAGTGATCATTTGGACGGTATCTCGTCCACCGCCTGATACGTACCGATACTTCCTAGGAACTTGTGTTTGGTATGTTTGAACCCCATTCCACTGCCCCTTCCTGCCATTCTCCGCACACGAACCAAGCCCTGACAGCAGCAGCAGGGTAGATCATCAGCGACCTAGCTGAGTCCCAGGGGGTCGGTACCTTTTGATGTTTGATCAAGCAATCACCTCGACTGACTAGACGATCTATTCCCGTCAGCTGGAGAATCCGATCGAGTCGCAGTCACTGTTTCTTTATAAGGATTCGATCATTCCCGGGCGATCGTTGTTTAGGAGCCCAACTAACCACACTACGTACTATCTTGACCGCCTCCACAGCAGCCCACATCCAAGCTATCGCTCTGCTCACAGACGCACGATCTTCCCAACCATCTCTTTTTTCTTATTGGTTTTTTTTACTTTCTCCCCTCTACTAAATCTCATTGAGATTCCGATCTTCGTCGGCTTGGTCCTGGTTCTCGGGTCTCTGTAACGAGGTTCCCTTCTTCTGCCCTCATCCCCCCTCCTCCCTCCCGTCATGCCATGCTTCAAGGGTCTGGCCGTGAGTATACACACTCCGGACGGCCCCATTCCCGAGTACTCCATTCAACGCCAGTCTCGGGCATCACGTATCGCTTGCTACATCCCCGTACCACCGCCCAAGTTACCAGACTCCGCCAGCGGGAAACCCGAACAGTCGACCTTTGCCATTTCCATCACGCTCCTGAATCCCGGCCAGGATGTCCCGTACTCGACGCCGAAACCGACGCCGGACAACCCCTCACCGAAGCCTAAAGTGGTGGGGGGCCTCCCCGGGCAGACAAGCGAACGCGGGCAGTACTCCAGTGCCGTTGCGCCATACCAACCCTTGACCAACTCGCCGAATGAAACGGTCGCAGCTTATATTTATTTTGATGGCCGGCAGAAAGAAGAGGTCGCTACATTGCTCCGGAGAGGGGAGGAGACTTGGGTCAACTCGCGATGGGTGAGCGTGCCCGAGTCCGAAGGAGGTGGGCTTGCAGAGCGAGAGTTTTTGTTTCGTGAGGTCGGATTGGAGAGATGGTTGAACGGGCTGGATCTGGAAGGCAAGGATGTCGCTGCCCGGATTGAGCGAAGGCGGCAGAAGATGGAGAGACGCCGACTGAAGCGCGAGTCCACCGAGGGAACTGGTGACATGGAGACGGATTCCAAGTCGGCAAAGGGGGGCAAGGGGATCATGCGGTATGGCAATGATGCGAAGTCGCCTCTGGAGAACGTCTCCGACGATGATCTGTCGTGTTCCGATTCCGACGACGATCCAATCCCCGAGTCTGCTGGACAGATCAAAGTTGCGTTGTTCCGGGTACTGGCTTCCGGGGAGATCAAACGAGGAGAGTACTCGCCGCAATTTGATGCTCATGACGACGATGAGGATAATCAGGGCGGGCAGGGCAACGACGCGGACATTGATCACACGACAAGCTTTGCAAAGCCCAAGACGTTGGATCCCAAGACAATCAGCACGCAAACGGTTACAGGCATTGATCCTTCTGACAAGCCGTATGCGATTTTTACTTTCATGTACCGAGGAGAGAGTATGTTTCGTGGTCGCTTTGATTATTCGGAAAGTTTGGCTAACTGTTTATCAGGACAACTACAGAAAATGGGAATTCTGAAAGATCCCAAGTCTCAGGAGACTCCTGCTTCCGTGAAGCGACGATCGTTGCAAACCGACTTCTCCAGTCTCGGTCCCCTCAAACCTGGCGGTACAGTTGGATTCCTTAATTTCCGGGATAAATCCGAGAACAAGGACAAGAAGAAGAAGAACAAGAGCGTGGAAGACGACGACATGGAAAGCGAGGATGATGATGATGATTCCATCCTCGGCAAAGCAGACGATGAGGAAGCCAAAGAAGACAACCATGATTTAACCGCGGAAGATATAAAGCGTCAAGGAGAACTTGCGGAGGGTGTCCGTAAGATCAAAGTAAGTCGCGCTGGTGTAATTGAGAGTACTTTATGCTAACAGGTGCAGCTTAAACGTCAGCACTCTTCTGCAAGCTTGGCCGGCGCTAGTAGCAGGGCCGAAGCTGGGAGCCCTCTGAACTCGGGAGAGACGCCAGCCACTTCGAGCATATCGACGACGCCTCCTAATGCACCCGCAAGCAGCAATGCAGGCGCAGAAGCCGCAAAGGCTGCTGTGAATACACTCAATGGAGCATTTGTGGGTAGTCCCCTGAAGAAGCAACGAGCCAGTGTATCAGAAGCGGATGAAAGTTCTCTGCGTCGCCGGATGGAGTCTGGGCTTTCCCAGGAGATCAGCGGAGCTCTGGGAAGCGCTGGAGAGCCAACGCAGACTGGTACGACTGCGAATACGTTTGGGGGAAGTCTGAAGGCACAGGGACCAGCGCTTCAACAGCCAGCACTGCAGCAACCAGCACTCCAGCAACCAGATGAGGATGAAGAGTTGTAGGTGATTGGGATTCGATGCTTGGAATCTACAGCTTAGGGACACATTGTGGTCAGCAACACTGGCATTTTTTCATGACCGTGACGGACTGGCGTAAATTGAGCGCATGACATGCACTACTTGGATTTATTCTTGCACTATGTTCTTATCTAGTGGAGGTATTTTTTGCTCAGACGAAGCTGGGAAATTTATATTTAGGTGGCCTTTTTGCTTGATGCCGACATGACGGGAGCAGATTGGACGGAGGATACCACAGCGTCATTCCCGGGATGGCTTTTTCTTCTCCAAACATTTATTGACGAAGAATTATCGCACGTGAATTGACTTGCTGTTGATGGGGGTTTACTATAGAATTATGAACTCGCAGGACAATATACCAACGGACTTTGAGACAGAGTTCCAGTTTGTATCTGCTGTATCCATTGTATCCATGAAATAATGTGGTGTCGAGCTCCAGCTTCAATGTGGAAACTTCTTCCACTCCGCGTCTCGCAGTCGAACACTTTTTTCTTGAATCCAAATCATCAGTTCTCAATTCGAAGCGGACGATTCGTGAGCACCGTTAGCAATTACAGGATGCCGCTCGAACGCTCTGCAGACCCTCTGGTCTGGATAGACTGCGAGGTCAGACGTCTGAACAGCATCCCTAAGACCGACTCCTACGGAGTACTGACTGACATCATAGATGACCGGCCTCAACCCCGAAACAGACACGATCCTCCAGATCTGCTGCTACATAACCGACTCCAACCTCAACCTCCTCGACCCGGAAGGCTTCGAAACCATCATCCACCACGACCGCTCCGTCCTCGAGTCCATGTCACCGTGGTGCGTCGACACCCACGGTCGCACGGGGCTCACCGCCGCGGTGCTCGCATCCACGACCAACCCCGCCGCCGCGGCCGCGTCCTTGCTCGCCTACATCCAGCGATACGTGCCGCGTCCGCGCACGGCGCTGCTTGCGGGGAACAGCGTGCACGCCGACAAGATGTTCCTCGCGAAGGAACCGTATAAGGCTGTGCTGGAGTGGCTGCATTATCGGATTCTGGATGTGAGTGCGTTCAAGGAGGCGGCTAGGCGGTGGGGTGGTGCGACATTGTTAAGGGAGGTGCCGCCCAAGAAGGAGGTGCATCTGGCGAGGGAGGATATCTTGGAGAGTATTGAGGAGATGAGGTTCTATAAGGAGAGGTTGTTTAGGGAGTAGTCTATTATTAGGTTTGGTTTTACTACTATTGACGATTAATGGTACTGTGCTATGACCCGCTGGCCGGACGAGAGCTCTCCTAGCTAGGAGCAATGTACCAAGTATGTATCTGGCTCGGTGAGCCAAGGAGATTATGAGCAAACTTTGTAGCAAAGGAGTGGAATTAGCGCTCTCAAGAGATGTTAGGTATATTCATGAAGAAGGTCCATGCTTGGGAGAAGTGATCGCTGTGATGTGTTGGCAGCACAATGCAGTTGACTACGCTGTATGATAGCAAGCCTCTTGAACAGGTCTAATACTACCTACCTACGTGCATGGATCCATCCATCTCTCTCATTGGTATGGCAATATCCAGACTATTTCTTGTCGTGGACTCCCAAAGTCATAATAATGACGCTTGTGTTGCCCCTCTCTCGACCAGTGGTGATCGAGATCGGCCCACCTTCCGCTTCGACTGAGACTAGACTCCTGTTTTCTCTGCGCTTCTGCTTCTTGTTCTTCTTCTTCTTCCTCCTTGAAAGTCGGTGAAATCTTTTTCTTTCTTCTCTTCTCTGCTCTGCTCTGTTACTTCTGATCTACTGAACCACTTCCATATCCCTTACTTTTCTGCAGACTTGTTCTGTACTGTCGAGGCTCCTTGACTGCTCCCCTCTACCCCACGTTGTCACCCAAACAAACCAACGTCATGTCGGTCCAGACAGTCTCCATCCAGCCTTTTGCCGACCAGAAGCCAGGAACGTAAGTATATTCTTCTTGATTAACCTTGTAATAACCATTGCCTTTATATTGTGAGCAAATCAGCTGATTATCCCTCATTGTAGCTCTGGTCTTCGCAAAAGGGTCAAGGTCTTCCAGCAGCCCCACTACTCCGAAGCTTTCGTCACCAGCATCCTGCTCTCCATCCCTGAGGGTGCTGAGGGAGCTTTCCTTGTCATCGGTGGTGATGGTCGCTACTACAATCCTGAGGTTATCCAGAAGATTGCCAAAATCAGTGCTGCCTATGGCGTCAAGAAGCTCCTGATCGGCCAGAATGGCATCCTCAGTACCCCTGCCGCCAGCAACCTGATCCGTGTGAGAAAGGCTACCGGTGGTATCCTGCTGACTGCCAGTCACAACCCGGGTGGTGCGTTAAGCTTTTCTTCTGTCACATTCGAGCGCTAATTTTCCAAGGACCCAACGCCGATTTCGGTATCAAGTACAACCTGGGCAATGGTGCCCCCGCTCCCGAGTCCGTCACCAACAAGATCTTCGAAACCTCCAAGTCCCTCACCTCCTACAAGATCGCTGAAATTCCCGATGTCGACACCTCCACCATTGGCACCAAGACCTATGGTCCCCTGGAGGTTGAGATCGTTCATTCCACCACCGATTACCTCAAGATGATGAAGGAGATCTTTGACTTTGACCTGATCAAAGAGTTCCTAAGCACTCACAAGGATTTCAAGGTGCTGTTTGATGGTATGCACGGTGTGACTGGTCCCTATGGTGTGGACATCTTCGTCAAGGAGCTCGGTCTGCCCCAGGATAGTACCATGAACTGCGTCCCCAGCCCCGACTTCAACGGTGGCCACCCTGACCCCAACCTGGTCTACGCCCATGAGCTGGTCGAGGCCGTGGATAAGAAGGGCGTCCACTTCGGTGCTGCCAGCGATGGTGATGGTGACCGCAACATGATCTACGGTGCTAACACTTTCGTCTCTCCCGGTGACAGCCTGGCCATCATCGCACACCACGCCAAGCTCATCCCCTGGTTCCAGAAACAGGGTGTTTATGGTCTGGCGCGGTCCATGCCCACCTCCGGCGCCGTGGATCTGGTTGCCAAGGCCCAGGGTTTGCAGAGCTACGAGGTCCCCACGGGCTGGAAGTTCTTCTGCAACCTGTTCGATAACAAGAAGATCTCCATCTGCGGTGAGGAGAGTTTCGGAACTGGCAGCAACCACATTCGCGAGAAGGACGGTGTCTGGGCCATTGTCGCCTGGTTGAACATCATCGCCGGTGTCGCCAAGCAGAAGCCCAACGAGACCCCCAGCATTGCCTCGATCCAGAACGAGTTCTGGCAGACGTACGGCCGCACCTTTTTCACTCGCTACGACTACGAGAATGTCGACAGCGACGCTGCTAACAAGCTGATCGCCAACCTGTCCGAGAAGGTCAACAACAAGGACTCTTTCGTGGGCAGCACTGTCTCCGGCCGCAAGGTGGCCGACGTGGGCAACTTTGCCTACACCGACCTGGACGGCAGCGTGACCAAGAACCAAGGTCTGTATGTCAAATTCGACGACGGTAGCCGCCTTGTGGTCCGCCTCTCAGGCACAGGCAGCAGCGGCGCCACCATCCGTCTGTACATTGAGAAGTACGAGAGCGACAAGAGCAAGTTCGGCATGAACACTCAGGACTACCTCAAGGACAATGTGGCCCTTGCCATGTCTTTGTTGAAGTTCAAGGAGTACATCGGCCGGGAGGACCCTGATGTCAAGACTTAATTTTTATTTATTTTCTACAGCAAGCCGCGCTGGTTTTACGACGGTTAATTTGAACTCAGCAAGTAATTAAGCATGGATAGAATATAGTAGTTATGGCAGTGCCAGATCAAATGCAGTCAAGTCATTAGTAGCACTCATCACATCATAGGATAAAACTCATGCGATGCCAGCCGCAGCAAGCTTCTCGGCCCACCACTCCTTCCATCGCACGACCTTTTCCTCCCGCCTGGCCTCTTCGGCCGCAAAGACCACGGCATGGCTGCGAACCGCTTCCTCCAGCGTACAGCCGACGAAATGGGTCTGCGCGCGTTGCACAACCCATCCCTCATTCTCGACGGCATCCACAGCACGCACGAAGCTGCGCGCCAGCCCGTAGTCTCCTCCGCCGTGCGACTCTTCCTCTTCCGGCGGCTGCTTGGGCACCTCGATGGTGGTCGTTGAGCGGGTCTCGAAATCATAGATGGAGATGGTCCGGCTGTCGTAGGCGATCTCGCCGCGCGTCCCGTAGACTCGCCCGCGGCGCTCGCACTGTTTCTCCGTGGGAGCAATCATGTGGAAGACGGCCATTTTGGCGCGTCTGCCTTGCAGTTGCAATTCCGCCTGCTGTCCCTCCCCGTTGGCAGGCGGTTCGTCCTCATCCGCGTCATCCCACGTAATGGTCACAACCTGGTCGTCGCAGACATTATTGTCCGCCTCGTAGACACACCGGCCATACCACGGTCGCCGCGCGATCTCCTCGTCGCTCATCTCGGCGTGTGAGTAGTCCTCGCGCAGACGCGCCAGGAGATGCGCCTCGGCGTTCGCTGCGGCCTCGCCCTCGCCCTCGCCCTCGCCCTCTGCAGACGAGCGCAGCACGTCCTCGATGTCCGGCACGACGATCTTAACGGGCCAGCCGGTGTCGCCGCGGGCAAGGTGCAGGTCGCGGTAGATGCGCACGGCGCTGTAGATGCATTCGCGCTCGGCGGGGCAGGAGACGCAGTTTGTGGCGGCGCCCGCGGCGCGGGGTTTGCGGGCGCGGCGGAATTGCGTCAGGGTGCCGGTGGAGGCGATGCTGCGGGGGTGGTGTGTCTGCGTCTGCGTGTCCACTGCCGCTGGCGGAGGCGAGGATAGCAGCCACATGATGAAGTCGATGTCGTGGCAGGACTTGGTAAGCAGGGAGCCGTCGCCTTGGGGGGTCGCGCGCCGCCAGTTCCCGCGGACGTAGCTGTGCGCGAAATGCCACCAGCCCACCGGCTCGGTGTGCTCCAGCGAGACGATGTCGCCGATGGCGCGGTCGAGGAGGAGGAGCTTGCGCAGGAGGATGTTGTGTGGGCTGTAGCGGAGGACGTGGCCGATGGAGAAGATCTTGTCGCTGCCGGAGGCAGCACCGCTATCGCTGGGTGACAATGCTTTGTAAACGGCTAGGCAATCACCCAGCGACAGGGCCAGCGGCTTCTCGCAGAGGATATGCAGCCCCAGGGGCGCTAGGGCGGTCACGATCTCGACGTGTGTTTCGTCGAGCGTGCAGATGAAGACGCCGTCTACCCCGACCCCATCTTCCCCCTCAGGCTGTTGGCGCCGCCTCGTCTCCCACTCCAACCATTCCCTCCAATCGCTAAACTCCTGGCCGTCGACTGGCCGTCCCTTCTCGCCCCAGATATACTTGCGGCCGAAATCGGCGCGTTTGAAGGCGTGCGGTTCGGCGACGGCGTGGATGCGCGCGGGGGTGCTGCTTGTTACGGCGCGAGCGTAGGCGTTGCCGCGGGAGCCGGCGCCGATGACGAGGAAGCGGAGGGGTTCATGGCTCCGTAGGGGTCTGGAGGGGAGGTCGTGTTCTTTGGTAGGTTCTTTCATGATGAGCGCAGCGGTATGCGGATGCGGATGCGGATGCTGATAGACGATAAGCAATGGAGGGGAAGAGTAATGCGGGGTGTCTGATTTATAGTAAATTTCAAGGGATTGCGCTAAGGACAGGCTTCATTTCGTTTCTCTGGAGCCTGTGAGACTAGTTCTGTCCACAGTACACAGTAGGAAGTTAAAGCAACTGCTGATGAAACATCGCGTCGCAACGTTGAGACGGCGCTTGTAATCATGGATCGCTGGTTGGCTGCCGCAGATCAATAGAGGTCGTCGAGGCTGCAGCTCAAACCACAACAACTTGGGCACGTAGGCTACAGGATTGTTGCGCTGAGGGTCTGAAGACAATTATTGATTATCTTGTATTATCTGGGAATTATCCACAGCCCAGTGACGTTATTTGTATCTGTACACCTTAATGCCGCAAGGGTGAAGAAATATCAACAGTAAAACACGGGAGACTCAACCCGATTCTTAGCATTCAGAGATGAATGAAGAAGAAGAAAAATAGTACATGAGATGTGAGTAAGTATAGCCAAAGAAAGATATGAAATAGAAATAGAATAGATTGGGGTATCCATAAAAGAAAAGCAAGTATAATCCAGACATGAGAGACATGGCACGCTGATGTGCAATATAGTGAAAGGTGAGGGTCTCCGTACAGAGCCTTCCAGTTGACTTCAAATGGAGGTTTGCGTGCTCGAATCCGGTGAATCACTACCGGATGGGTCGTGAACAGGGAGCCGCACTGGTCGTTGGTCGCCGGGCTGATATACGGCGATCGGCGCAGCGAGCGGAGACTGCGGACTATAAGCCCGGTCGTTGTACAGAGAATGAAAATGCCTCTTACGCATTATTTGCAGCAGGGCATATTCGAGTATGTACTTCAAACTGGATCACAATCCGTCAAGACTCTCCGTGAAGCGACTCCCCCGGCTGCCGTCGAAGCTGGGGTGACTACGGCCCAGTCCGTCTGGCCGCAGTGGTATCGTGGGGGATAATGTACCCCCCGGTTGAGGAATGGCACGCGAGGCCGCCGGTACGTTCACCACGCTGACGTTCGTCGAKCTGGCAACCGGCGTCCGGGCGGGTGACGGTCGGAAGACCACGACCGACTCGGGTTCGTCCGCTTCTCGCGTGTAGCTCACATCCAGTGGCATCCCGTACGGCATCGAGGGAGGAGGCTGAGAGATGACGGAGCGAGGCTGGACGGGTGACCCCGGCGGGAGGCTCATGCTGGGCTCCGACGCGGTCGGCGATCCTTGATCATATCCGCCACCATAGCCGTCCCCTCCTGACTGCAGCACCGAGGGGATCTTGCGGCCCGAGATCTTCTGGAACCCGCGTTCGCTCGTGGTAGTAGAGGTGAAGGTACTGTCGTCAGACCGCACCGTCTGGTTCGACTGCCTCCATCGCTTCATAAAAGCCGGAGCAAAGTACGACGCCGTGAACAGGGGGTCGCGACTCGAGCGCCGTGACGCCATCTCGGTGCGTGAAACAGATCTTCCGTCTCCAGACGTGCCGCCAGTCCCATCACTCGCTGGGAGTCCACGATTCGGTCGAAACAAGGCCGTCTTGCGCCGTCGCAGCAGGAAGAGAAGCAGGCCGAGCAGGAAGAATGCGCCGGCGAGACCTCCAACCACTCCGCCCACAATGCGTTTGGTAGTGACGCTGTCCAAGCCACCACCAGAGGACGAAGACGTGGTTGCTGAGGGAGCCTGGCCCGTAGCAGTTGCGCCTGAATCTCCGCCTCCAAAATACGTTCCCGTACTATACAGGTCCGCAGTGGTAGTGGTCTCTGACCCCGACGTGGTCGAGTAATCACCAGAACAGTCGCTGGAAGTGCCGCCGTATGAACCGTACGAACTGGTATCGTTGGCGTTGGTCGAACTAGAAATCGTACTCGTCGAAGTGGGCTTTGGTGAGGCTATTGGGGTCGAGCTCGATACAGCACTCGAGGATCGAGCACTAGGTATTAAAGCGGACGACTGGGTGCTACTCGCAGAGTTGATGATAGCGATAGACGTTGGAATCGAAACGGCTATTGAAACCGATAAGTCTAATGACACAGAAACAGTGGCGGTGGGTATGATTGTCAAATCGTTAGAACTTGTGGTAGCTGAAGTGGTCGACGGCTCAGCCGCAGGGGGTGTCTCGACAGGAACAGAGACGGTTGGTTGATCTGAAGCAGGATCCGATATTGGCGTCGGAAGAGCCGCAGCGGTGTCTGGAGGTGCATCGACAACACTGGTTACCGTGGTGGCCGCCGTCTGAGATCCTGGAGGAATGGGGGAATCCTGACGCTTTTCTAGCGAATAGTCCGAGTCCTTGTGCGATACCTCCCCCGACGACCCATGACGCTTACTATGGTCCAGGACGTGCGCCTTTTTCATGCTGGAGATCAACGACCCTGCCGACTCTTCCCCTGGTTGGCTGGCTGGTTCAACTGTCTCTTGACGGGTTCGATGCTTCTGTTTCATCAGCCTTGTCAGCCGCTGACTCCGAGCAATGCCGTTGTGTGCCATTCTGGCAGATTGTCCTCCTCGGTGTTCCCTAATCCTGCAACGATCGCATGCAAGCCTCCGAACCGAATAAACCGGAATGCTTCAAGTAGAGGTGAAATGGTGATAATCGTTCAGTCGTCAATAACGCACTTGTGTCTGCCTGCACAGCGCCTGAGGTGATCTGCAAAAGAGGGAAAGTAAGATCGATTGATGCAGGATACTGGTTGAATTGAACTGAACTGATATTGAAAGAGTGTTGAACGATAGACCATGTGCCGTAAAGGAGTGAGCGACTTGTCTAAAACGTTGTCTCAAGCGAAAGGAGCGACGAGTCGGTCTGTAACGAGTTTGAAACACGTAGACCGTAGCGAAACCAAGGAATGGACGTCAGCTGTCACCGTGCAGCCGACTAATTGTAGACAAAAATGGGAAGACTCAGGGTCATAAAAGTCTAGAAAGTCGACCAGACAGCGTTAGCTCTTTGAGTCGTTTCTTTCTGCCGGCGAATCGATCCATGTGAACAAAGCTAGGCAGCGAAGCACATACCTTGAAGGAAAGAATATGAAGCGAAATGATATAATGGAGCGATCACGATTGCTATTCGTTCCTCCGAGGATCTTAATCCATGCCTGTCGCGCAGGAGATCTTGGCAGGATTCACCACGATGAGCTTCGACTCAAGCTTGCGACTGCTGAATTTCTCTGCCGACTCGACTCTCCCAACAATTGACGGTTGACGGTTGACGGTCGAGGGATCCACGCTTTCAAAGGTACCCAGATTCCAGACCCAAGGATCGTTATCCGTTCTTTTTCGGTCTCGGCACACGTTCGCAAGAACAGCCGTGAACTGAGATTTCCGCTCACTGGTCTGGTTATACCAGCGCCAAATCTAGCAGTGAGCGCAGCCAGGTCGAAAATCGAGGTTACTCACTCGGCATCCGATCATAGGGGGTGGAACGGGGGTGATGGGGAGGGGGAGGGAGGCGTAGGCGCAAAGGAAAAGGAAGAGGGGAACGAGAAAATGAGAAGAAGAAGCGAAGAAGCGAAGAAGCGAAGAAGTGATCGTACAACAGACGAACCAGACTAGTCAGTAGTCGAGTAGTCTCGTTTTGAATATTTACACTGGCTAGCTGGGAAGTTAGCCGACTCGACCAGGTTGTTTGTTGGTGGTGATGGATCAGGCCAGGCACACAGGACAGGAGCAGGAATTAGACTAGATACAGGCTCACGAGTCACAGCGTTTTCCCGGGTCTTAGACTGTTTTTCTCTTAGACCCTCCGAGGCGGCTGCTAGTCTCGATGGCCTCATTGGGCCAATTTCAAAATTAATTAAGGTACATCTCCTCCGTACTCAGCTAGACGGCACGAGAATCTTCTGCTGTCCACCACTTGACTGATACTTAATGATATTCGTTGTAATTGTCCTCTGCAAGGTGATTGCATAACAGTTCAGACATAGTAATATCATATTGTCCAAGACATAGCTGATTACCATCCTATTGCTGCAGCCTGCAGATGATACTGAGATGTTCTGGCCCGAACAAGGATAATTAAAAAAAGAGACATGCCCCACAAATCTGTGGGTCGAAAAGCGTCACACGCTTATCCACTAACCCTGTTATGGTCTAGCCTGCAAACTAGCCAGAAGAGTGTTTAATTAGATCTTGGTCGGTGTAAATAAACACAACAGTATCGCTGATGAAAGACATGGTCGTATTGCCAGTTGGATCATTTAGCTACAAGTCTATCACCTCATCTGCGCAATCCAAATCAGTTGACAAAACATGTCTGTCCTGGAGTTAAGATACTCAAAAGTCAACAGTAAGCAGTCTACACTGACCATTAACCCCGTTAATAATACCCCGTACGACAGCCCCTCAGCCAATTCAGTAAGTGCTAGTAATGCACCCCTGAGGCTCAGACTGTGACTGGAGGCAAGGGGACTCCCTCTATCGCCGCGTGTAACCAATAGCCTAAGCCTGCAAGGTACAGCTCTTGCAGACTACCGTCCTACCTTTTCTAACTGAGGCACAAAGCACGAAGTCGAGTCACATCTCATCCCAGTCCTAAAGCCATTTTCTCGAGTAACATTGTATCACCGTGTATTTCCGTCCGTTCCTGATACCGCTGTCGAGGCGATAGCAGTCCATCAACTAGATATTTAATGATCACGCCTGGAAGGGCTGACGTACGACTTTAAATTTGCCGTCTACGTCTTCCTCCGACCCACTGCTATTTATATGGACTCGGCCCGTTCAGATATAAATATCACTTTAGAGACAGTCTCTTACTTTCTTCCCGTGTGATGGTGTCATGATCCAGGAAATAATGATCAAGTCCCACCGACCCTCCTTCGAGAATGCCGTCGAAGGAATGGAACCTGTTTGCCAAAGTGACTGACACCTAGTTACTGAGGAACATTCATGGAAGGTCGTGCACAATCACCTGATTGACGTTACTGTACGGAGTACCGCCTTCAAGCCGGAAAAGTTGCGACATATGGAAACTGCACAGTCGGCTGGGTCTTCCCCGTCATAGATGGAAGCAAAGTACAAGTAGACCACAAATCTCGATCTCACGCTATACACAGGCTGACTTTCACTCTATGCTTTGCAATCGTATTTGTCTGCTCACCACACGCCCAAGCACGGATGAGGTGCGTCTCGCACTCCACATGCCACTAATCCAAACCAAAGACGGAGGGAAAAGGGACTGATTCAAGTCGGTGGGGATGTAAAGGATCACGGTTTCAACGCTAGTGATAAAGGGGTATTATTAACGAAAAGACGTCCATTACCATGAACCTAGAATGTCTCCAGCTCATCGGCGACCTCCGCTTCCGCTGGGATCTCAAACCCTTCCTGTACGAAGAATTAATACGCGAAGCAAAAAAAGGAGAGACAAAACGTCACAAAACGTACCTCCGTTGAGTACAGGATGCCCTGAATATGCTTCACCAGAGTGTCTTCTTCCTTCTCCAGTTCAGGGTCCGCCTCGATGGCATTCTGCAGCAGCAGCTCGATATCCCGGAGCTTGGCAAAGTAGAAATCGCGCTCCTTCTCCAGGCCAGCAATAGCCTCCTTCTGAGTCGCAATCTCCTGCTGCAGAGCAGCAGTGCTGGCTCCTCCGGCGGCTGCGGAAACCCGAGGGCGAACAGCGCCGGTTGTAGGAGTAGCTCCTCTCCGAGTAGCCCCCGCCGAGGACGATGCGCCAGAGCGAGTACCAGCGGCAGAAGGGACGGGAGCGCCAGAACCCTTCCGGCGGCCGACGGCATCGTAGTCGCCTCCGGGGTAGTGCTGGTCCCAGTATCTCTTGGTCCACTGGAGAAACTCGAGGTTATCCTGCATGCGGCATTTTGAGAGTTGCTGGACCGGGATCGGCTTCTCGATCTGGTGGCGAGTGAATGTATCTGAATAGAGAGTAGGGGTCAGACATGGGATCTCAATCGTGGGATATACGGTCCATGTGGTGTCCTACTCTGAAGGATTTTGAAATTCTGGAGATAGGCGTACTCGGAGTTGACATTGAACTTCACACGCGCCATGGGAACATCCACTGCACGAGAGGGCACAGGTTAGCCAGCCAAACACAATTGTTGAAATCAAGTGGCTCCTTGAAGCCTGCTAGCTGTTCACTCACTAAATATCGAATCAAAAATCTGACACAGAGCGGCCCTGTGAAACCGAATCAGCACTTTGAGATCATGCTTTGGATGTGCCCAAATCTATGTTGTCCATATAGGGTCGGCCTGCAATGGTCGACTATTTCAAGGGCATAAAAAGGAGCGTCAATCGTACCCGGTTCCGCACTGTTCAATCTTGGTCAAATTCAGCTGCAGCAGGCTGTTAATCCATGCCAGCAATTCCTGTCTGTATAGCGAGAAATTTTCGAATTAGTGAGATGTTCGACATCAAAACAAAGCCCCTTGGGGGAACGATCAGTTGGCCTGACGAACCTGGATTCACCCATGGTGGGGTAATTTTGTCACTGCGAAGATACACAACCGTTGAAAGGGCGTCGGGGAGGGATTGTAACTCGAGCGATATCGAAAAGAGAGGAAATCCAGCTACTGATGGCCTTTGTTTTGATTGAGGTTGGATTTGTTTATGGGGAAAAGAGAACGAGGAGCCGTAGAGACAGAGGATTGTTTTGCTTCTGTCCTCGAAACCCACGGCTCTGCCTGGCGCTAAGGAGCCTCCCTGGCCAATCATATTCACCCTCTCCCTTTGCTTCAAGGTCATTTAGCTAACAGGTGATGATGAGTAAGAGTCGAATATATTGGAGGTAAAAAGGAGTAAATTAGTCCAAATATGCTTATATAGGGGATTGTAGGGGACCAGGGTATAATCAGTAGTGCTCTAACTCCAAGTCCAACTCAATTGCACCAGTAACAGCCAGTGTCTTGTCTCTATGGCGTCTTTTGTATGAAATCAAAGAGCAAAAAAAGAAACAAACAGGCTCCAAGTCTAACAAGTTCAAATCAAACAAATCTATCGCTTCTAAGGAAAAACGTCATGTTCTTTTGAAAAGACCCAGTGTATCATCCGACAACTCCAAACCTGACATAATTCCAGCGTTCGTAAGTAAAAGGAAGGCGTCATTTAGGAACACTCTTCCAACAGCTCGATGCCATCCAAGCCATAGCCAAAATCCATAATGACAGCTCGAGAATCTTGGCTGGTGGCAACGATGCGTCGATAGTCCGACTTCACACTCAACATCCAGCTGGTGGTCCAACCAGGCAAGTCAATAGAGAGCTCGCCGGTCTGGGCGTCAAAGACCTTGACACTCATATCATAACTACCGCTGACAATCCGCTGGTTCATGCTGTCCAGATGCAGTGAGCGGACAAGACCAGCATGCCCTTTGAGTTCACGGACCATCTCGGTAGTGTTTGCGTCAAACTGGTAGATCGATTGGTCGTTTCCACCGGTGAGAATGGTGCGCGCGTCATCACTGAACTCCACACAGGCTAGTCCACGGTCCTTGCTGGAAAACTCCTTGACACAAAGACCCGAAGTAATGTTCCAGAGTTTGGCTACTCCGTCCCCGCTCGCCGACACGACAAGGTCGCCCCGGAGCTGAACGGCGTTCACGGGTCCACGATGGCCGAGAAGCTTCTTCACCAGAGCGCCCGTCTGCCGATCCCACACACAGATGGTTGTGTCTTTGGAGCAGGATACGATGTACCGATCATCAAAGCACACGTCCAGCACGCCAGCCCTGTGGCCCTCCAGACGACGAATCGGCCTGTAATCGTTCTTGATGTCCCATACAATGCAAGTGAAGTCAGACGACCCAGTCACCATGATCTCTTCGTCAAATTGAAGACAGAGAATGGAAGCACTGTGGTAGTCGGAGCTCTGGTCAATGGGAGTGACAATGTCTGCCGAGAGGGTAGGGGGAGGACAGATGGTGAGAAAAGGAGGTTTGCCCGACGACTGCTGAGTCGGGTTGTTGACCTGTCCAATGCTCGAGACCTCGCCTGGAGGAGGACCAATGATCTTACGGCATGGCCACGGATAATGAGCATCCCACACCCGGATGGTTCGATCACGAGAACCAGTGATGATTTTGTCTCTGTGGAGTCCAAGTCAGATCAGATCATCACATAAGGTAGCGACACTGGGGAAAGTCAAAAACATACTCATCGAATTGAACACAGTAGACGCTGTCCGTATGGCCGTGCAGGTAGATTGCGGCCGCTTTCCCCTCTTTCCATCGATGGTCGAGAGCACGGCGGACAAGGAACATCTTCTTCCAGTCCTGATTCGGGATTGGCTTTCCTAAGCCAGCCGACTGCCTCTTTTTGGGTGCGACACCGCTGGGGAGGCGATGTCCGTACGCACGACGAAATACCTGCCTCCAGATGTGCCGAGAGGAAGCCTGCTCTCTCCAAGCACAGGAAACCAATTCAGCCTGCATCAGAGACTCGGGGTCAAGATACGATAGAGCCAGCGACATGATCTCAGGTGGCAGATAGGTCACGGGGTCAATGCGGACAATAGACAGATCCACCTCGGATAATTCCGAGCGATCGCGCAGATCAATGTCGATGCCGCTCTCCGAATCCCGAGTGACTTTCATACCGAATGATTTGATATATTCTCTCTCCGCCCTCGCCAATTCATTCTGAGCAGCTGCAGCGGCTCGAGCGGCGGCCCCGGCGTAAATATTGTCTGGAAGAATCGGAGGTTCAAGTCCACGACCGGGGATAGGGGCCGGAACTGATGCAACAGGTGCGTAGAACGTCTGCAAGGCAGTTTCGTAAGTAAGAGAAGGCCGGCGGTTGGGGTTGTAGCCCTTGCACCAGGATTGCCCTGATCCGGATTCTCCACACCCACTGGCATCTTGAGGCTCATGGACCGCAGCACTGACATCTTCGTGAGCGTGGTGATGAGAAACATGTCTGGATGACTTGTGACGGATGGTCACAGAAAGGCGACGGCCCAGAGCACGCAAACCATCCATGGAATGCCGCAAACTGGAGAAGCTCTTTGCGGCACGGCGCTTGGTAACAGGTTCAGGGAAATGATTTGTCTCTTCCACGACGTCTTCATCGTCATTGTGGTCTTCATCGGCGCAGAGCGATCCATTCCAAACATCATGTTCCAATGCGAACGGGTGTGCTGTTGACAGTGTGGCATTGCGAGGGCGAGTCTTGACGGAGAGTGAGGGGCGACGGCGAGCGGGAATAACAACCGGTTCTCGTGGCATCATGGCGTTTGGGAGACTGAAATAGAGATCGGCAGCAGTATCAGATCCGAATAGATGTCGAGGAGTATCGGAGAAATTGCGTTCTGCACGAGAGCCAGCTGGGACCGAAGAATAGTCCAGATCTTGACTCGCGGAAACCTATGCCCTTCAATCTGAAACAACAGGGGGTTGAACGCAAGGAGCTGAGTATGTCGACGGAGGAAATTTATGTACTCCCAAAAGCCAGCATGGAAAGACGGTAGGTTCTAAATAAAATAATCCCAAAGCTAATAAGAGAAACGAAAGAGAGGGATTGATATCCACAACAAGGACTGCGCGACCGCAACAAGATCTACCCGTAATAGAGATATACTAGAGAGAGAAACGCCAGGGTCGCAGGGCGAGAGAATGTACAGCACACACCCCTGAAATGAAGGAGAAAAAAATAGACAAGAAAGAAACAAGAAAAAGGGACGCTGACAAGAACCAAAGCTGAGAGGAAGGATATGAACAATAAGCAATAAGGGATAAAAAGAGAAGATCGAAGCAGGGGGGATTGAGGGAAAAGGGTGACGGCAGGCGGTGAGAATGGGTTTTTTTTTGCCTCCCCAGCCCGATAAGGCCCGATTGGAAATTTCGCACGACTGAAGAGTTGGGAAAAGGATTGGGACACGCCCAAAGAACGCTGTTCCTTCGACACCGTTTCTAGAACTCCGCGTTCCAATGGCAAAATTCGGGTTCCAACCATGGTGAAGGGGGAGGAGAGTTCATCATGACGGATACTCGCTTCGAAGTCGACTTTTCTCGAAAAACCTTATCATAGGTGGCGATGATAACGCCTCGTCTGCAGTGCTTTGACCGTCAATCCAACCCAACCCTGTGGAGGTACACTTATTTTACTGGATATTATGTTGCAGGCAGAGCTGAGAAAAAACTTTTTCACCGCTTATACGACATCCAGTTGAGATATCCGTGATGAGACTTTTTCCCCCAGTAAGTTAGGGATTAGCCTATTTACAGCTCAGCTTTGGGTCTAAAATTAGGCGCAAGCTTAGGTAGCGTTGCACATGAAACATTGCTGGTTCCTTTGTTTCGAGGATAAGCAGCTCTTTTTTCTTACTGTCGGAGAACTGGCAGACAAGAAGATCCTTAAATAATTTACCTATCAGTCTATCGGAATCCGATTCAGATGATTAGATCTCTCTTCCGTCCCCGCTGTCAATGATATACCCCATGGGGTTCTCTATCCGCCAAAAAGGAGCGGGAAGCCTTAATAGTTAGGGCTTTGTCGAGACCATTGGAATTTCCGTACAACATCTCTCTGGCTATTTCAATTTTGAAAACCCTGGCTGTAATTTATGGATTGCTTTTGTTCAGTCCGCTATGAACAAACGCAATGCCCTACTAGTCACTAGTACATCGAGTACCTTGTGGATCGCCGGCAGTATATATAGCAGCGCCTTGGATTATTTCACCTGTACTGTGCATAGACTATACAAATCTTTTCTGTCATATCCTCATATCTTAGTCATATTAGTGCATCACACCAAATCCAATCATTGACCAAAGACCTTGTCATAACCAGTCAGGGTAAACCGGTAGCGAACATCTCCCTTCTTCATCCGGAGCATAGCCTCCTTGAGACCCTCCTCGCCGATCTGCAGCTCCTCCACCCAGCTCTTCAGGCCCTTGTCGGCCGCCAATTGAAGCATGGCCAGCATCTCCTTCCTGCTGCCAAGATGGCTCGCTCCGATCAGGACTCCGTTCGAGATGAGGTGCTGTGCCTTGACGACCTGGCCCTCTTCCTCAGGCAGACCGACACTGACCCAGCGACCGTGCACATCCATCATGGACAGGTACCTGGCCAGGTCGAAGCCCTCGGAGGAGTTGGCGCAGTTGATGATGAGATCAAACGAGAACCGGTGAGGCTTCTCCCAGCCCTCCTCCGCCGTGGCGATGTATCCGTCCGCACCGAGCTTGCGAGCATCGGCCTCCTTGGCCCGACTGCGGGAAATAGCCCAGACCTCCGCACCCAGCGCCTTGGCGAACATCACGCCAAAGTGGCCGATACCTCCCAGGCCGACGATACCGACCTTCTTGCCGGGACCGGCCCCGTTGCGGACCAGGGGAGAGTATGCGGTCAGACCGGCGCACAGCATCGGGGCGACGAGGTTAGTATCGAGGGCGTCGGGGATGGGAAACACCCAGTGCTCGTGGGTGCGGACGTGGGAGGAGTAACCACCCTGGCTGACGATGCCAGTCTCGGGCCACTCGGCGCCGTATGTGTCGATCATGAGAACAGGGCAGTATGTCTCGTTGTCGTTCTTGCATTGCTTGCATTCACCGCAGGAGTAGGACTGAGCGCCGACACCCACCCGCTGGCCCTCCTTGATCAGGGTCACTTTGGGGCCGACACGGATTGCACGGCCGACAATTTCTGTCGAAGCAACTCTAGTCAGATATGTTTCGCCTCGTCTGGCTAGAAGGAGACCCATTCTTACCATGTCCCACGCAAAGGGGGAATTTCTGCTCTCCCCAGCCACCTGAAACAATGCTATTAGCGAGGCTATCCTTTTGGTTTCTTGGACGCAAACTCAAGACTTACCACTGATCGTGTGCACATCACTGCCGCAGATACCGCACGCTTCAATCTTGATGTCGACATCTAAAGCGGAGTGTGTCAGCCATCGCAAACGTTATGCTCGTGCTTAATTCAACATGCTCACTCACCATAATCACCAAAAGGCTTCAGCTTGAACTATACACGACAAGAGATAAAATTAGCAACGACTACGGAGTCGCAACCAGGCGAGCGCCACATACAAATCTCTTGTGGAAGGTGGTGAAAGTCTCAGGGCCGTCGACCTGGAAACCTTCAGCTTCGTCGGGGTAAGGCATTGTGAAGGATAGGTTCAGTCGCTATCAGAAGACAACAATGATAGTCACGAGTGAAGGACAGACACGAAACTAAAGAAAAAAGAGGGAAAAGCAACCCCTCCAAGTCAGGACCACGGCCCATCTTTTAAATCTGGCACGCAGCGTCCTGAACGCACCAACCCACTTGGTTGATCCCACCCGCTTCTCCAATTATTATTATCGCTACTGACTGCGGAGCCAAGGCTTATCGTGACATTTTGCCCGCACGTATTGCCAGGCCTGCCAGCCAGCGTCGAGCTGAGTTTCCGTGGATTGTTCCGACACGTTTCATACTTGCAGTTTCCTAATTGACAGGCTGGCCTGGTTCAGACCAACTGCAATCTTGCTCTATGACTGGATCTTACAGGTAAGGCCGAACACGAACTATGAGCATTGTCTCTATGTTGTAGGCTCTCCGGTCCCCCTCGGAGAATGGACTCCGACGCACTCCACCATCATCACAACCTCCTAGTGAATACTAACTAGAATTCAATCTCATGCACAAAATTCAAACGTTGCATGACGACAGCTTTCCATCCAGAACTTTTTTCAGCATGTCTTCTGATGAATAAAGTAGTATTCGAGAACTGCCTGCTCGGGGTAAATTGTCCACCTATCAGCATCAAGCTGAATTGTACCTGGCGTGGGGGCGGCCTCGCCGATCTGGAGAAGCTGATTTCTGGTACGGCCGAAAGAGAGCATTGAAGTCTATCCGGCGAAAAGTGAGAGGAAGAGATTCCGAGAATTATGGAAGAAGTTGAGAGGATGTCATTGTTGTCAATGATTTCCCGAGTCAGCGTACGTAGATTTTTACTATAGCGGCTTCAAAAGGCCCGAAAAGTATCGTGCCCTCAACGGAACCAATCATAGGTTCATTGCATTTGAAAGTAAATAAACTACGGATATAAAGAGTCTATTCAATGTCAGGCAATGAACGCTCCACCTCCATGGCATCCTTGATCTTATCCGCCACCGCTTGCGCCTGCTCCTCGCTAAGTCGGGCCAATGGCCGCCGAGGGTACCCGCCGTAGCCATAGTAGCTCTGGATTGCACTCTTGGTGCCAGGGATGGCCGCCTTGGTGAGCACCCAGTCGGCCTTGCTGAGCAGCTGCTGCGCCTCCATGGCCTCTGTCAACCGGCCCTCGCTCCAGAGGTTGAAGATCCGCACACAAAGACGGGGGATGACGTTAGCCCCGCCGGCCAGGATCGCCGAGCCACCAGACACCAGCGTCTGCAGGGTGAAGTCGGCGATACCGCCAAAGGCAATGTAGGGGTGGTTTTCGACCTGCTTGGTGGAGGGCTTCTTTGTTGCGGGGGCGAGCGGGGAAGGAGGAGTGATGGCGTTGAGGGCGCCGGCGACACGGGTGAGCTTGCCCGTGTTGGCGCAGGTGAACTTTGTGCCGACGATGTTGGGGTGCTGCGAGATGCGGATGATGAGGTCGGAGTCCATGTCGATGCCGGCGACGGCGCCGGGATAGTTGTACAGGATGATGGGGAGCGGGGAGCCGTCCGCGACGGCGGTGAAGTACTCGTAGAGCGTCTCATCGTTGCCAACGGCGTAGCGGTAGTAGCTGGGGGGCACAATGAGAACGTACTCGGCGCCGGCCTCGGCACATTCCTTGCACAGTTCGATGGTGCCGCGGATGCTGTTCTCGCTGGCGCCAGCGATGACAGGGACGTTGGCGAACCCGGCCTCGACCAGGGCGGAGCGTGTCTCGCGGATGACCGTCTTGCGCTCTTCGCGGGTCAGGTGCACGGCTTCACCGTTGGAGCCCATGGTAACCAGACCGACCAGGCCGGCCTTGGCCAGGCGGACGGCATGGCGCCGGATAGTTGGGACATCGAGGTCTTCAGTGTCGGGGTTGAAGAAGGTCATGGTGGGAGCATAGACTCCGGGACGGAGAGGTGTACGCGACGACGCCATTTCGATGATATAATTGAGCCGATATGGTATGCTGTGATCAATCTGGTCAGTATATACAGTACCTTAATATTGGCTTGGAAGGGGAGAATCACATACGGGTATGTAAACAATCTGATCAACAACAGTCGCGCTCAATCAGGACGATTAAGAGAAAAGTTATGACACCAGCCTAGCTGGCTGGAAAAGTCCAGCATGGCGCCTGTCTATAAATATAAATCCAGAAAAAAGGTTCCCGGAGTCTCCTCTTCGGCGCAGGCTATATTCCCGCGATGACTTTACCCCGCGAGGTTGACGTCCTGAAAGCTGCCATCCCACTCCCCCACTGCTGTATCTCTGTATCAATTGCCCCACTCCGGCGTCGGCCTTTTCGCCGTGACAGGACGGACGAGAGAATTTCCACCAATCAGGCTGTGGCCTGCGTCGGTATTGAAAGTTGCCGTTTTGGTGCTTGAGAAGCAAACACCGACATACAATGAGGATGATGATGTATACATCCTTGTACAGTAGTAGAAGTGAGCTGCTTTTGTCTCTGAAACAAGCCATGGCTTAATTCTCCGTATTACTGCAAACTCATGGAACTATACAGTCCTTTCCATCGAATTAACTGCGACGAGATCATCCACAAATAGAGTGTTTGTGGTTACCCCAAATCGTCATGTGGATCGGCTATTAACGCTGTTCCAACGGCAGAATTCAGGCTGGAGGGTCCTTCGTTCTTCCGTCAATCTGCCCATCGCAGCTTGAACCGGGGATTACAAAAGTCTGCATGTGCCGTGGACTGTGGGATTCGAGATTGTAACGAGAAATTCTCTCTCTTCCTTCTAGATACCCTCTTGCGCCCCTAATCTCATCTGCTCGTCTACCCCGCACGCTGATAACTAGAGCTTCATCGTCGATTTAATCCACGAGAGCACTCAAGATGGCGCCTAGTGTATTAATGGCAAGTGAATTCTTATTGTTTCGTCTCAGCGGATATAGCTAACTTGGCCCAGGTAGGAACTGGAGAGTACACCACGGGTTTCGTGGGCGGTGCTGCTTCTGGTTCGGACAAGAAGGTTGGAGTTGTCGGGTTGACCCTCTTTGATCTCCGACGACGAGGCAAGGTTGGCAAGCTGAGCATGGTGGGAGTTTCCGGCCGCAAGTTCCCTGGCATTCGTAAGACGACCCGTATCCCGAATCAGACACTGGAAGCTTAAGCTGACCGGCCAGGCGAGCATCTTCGCAAGAACATCTCCGAGGTCTACAATGGCCTGGACGTTTCCTTCGAGTCCTTCCCCGCCGACGACCAGACTGATCCCGACGCCTACAAGGCAGCAATTGACGCTCTGGAGCCCGGCAGCGCCATCACCATCTTCACTCCAGACCCCACACATTTCCCCATCGCCCTGTACGCCATCCAGCGCAAAATCCACGTCATGATCACCAAGCCCGCCACAAAGCTGCTGCAGGACCACCTCACCCTCCTCGAGGAGTCCCGCAAGCACGGCGTCTTCGTCTACATCGAGCACCACAAGCGCTTCGATCCCGCCTACTCGGACGCCCGCGCCAAGGCCAAGAACCTCGGCGACTTCAACTACTTCTACTCCTACATGAGCCAGCCCAAGAGCCAGCTCGAGACCTTCAAGGCCTGGGCCGGCAAGGAGAGCGACATCTCCTACTACCTCAACTCCCACCACATCGACGTCAACGAGAGCATGGTCCCCGATTACGCTCCCGTCAAGGTCACCGCGTCGGCAGCCAAGGGCACCGCCGTCGCGCTGGGCTGCGCCCCGGAGACAGAGGACACCATCACCCTGCTGGTGAACTGGCAGAGCAAGCAGGACCCCTCCAAGGTCGCGACGGGTGTTTACACAGCTAGCTGGACCGCCCCGCAGAAGGCCGGTGTCCATTCCAACCAATACTTCCACTGTAAGTCCCCCATCCAGCTTCTGAGTACGTCACAATCTGACCGGCTGGCAGACATGGGCTCCAAGGGCGAAATCCGCATCAACCAAGCCAAGCGCGGCTACGACCTCACCGACGACAACCAGGGCCAGTTGGCCTGGATCAACCCGTAAGTCTCTGTCGCTTGCTTCGTCTACTGTCAAGGCGTGAAGGCATTTACTGATCTCGGGCTAGGTTCTACATGAGCTACGCTCCCAACGAAGAGGGCAACTTCGGCGGCCAGACGGGCTACGGGTACATCAGTTTCGAAAAGTTCATCGACGCCGTCACGGCCCTCAATGAAGGCCGCGTGACGCTGGACCAGCTGGATGCGCGGCCCCTGCCCACCCTCAAGAATACCATTGCCACCACGGCGATCCTGCATGCGGGCCGGATCTCGCTGGACGAGAACCGCGCCGTGGAGATTGTCCACGACGGCGACAAGTGGGAGTTGAAGTAGACTTCTGTAGTTACGATATGTGTAGATATCTGAGAACTTGAATTTGCATAGTACATAATATACTGACATGCGAAGCAATGATCCATTCAAGTCCCTCAACCTTTCAGACGGATAAAACTTCGTACAATCTACCCTTTGAACAAATCGAGAATCCAACTCCGAACACCACCGCACCATCGCCATGCTATGAAGGAAATCTGCAATATACCAGGAACAAACATAGCGCGAGAGGTCGTGGTATCATGAACAGAAAGAACGCCAAGTGAGAAAATCCACCACATATGCTTTAAGCACCACAAGGAATCGAACATTTCATCGGCGAGAACTCAACCTGACGATCCCATCGTTGCTCTTGTGGAACTTTACCCGACAGTCGGGGCAGTACCACTTGGCGGTGCGGCTGGGCACTTCAGACAGACCGACACAGTCGAGATGGAACCATTCTTTGTCGCACTATCGAGTCATAATCATTAGTATGGATCGAAGAATGTGACACACAAGGGTAGATACTTACATCCTGGTTCTCGCAGCAGATCATCGTTCCGAAACTGACATCTCCGCAGAGACAATACCGCGGTTCGTTGGGGTCAATCTCCTCCAACACGCCGTCTTCGTCTATGCGAATGTCCTCCCTCGTCGTGCCATCCTTCTGCCCCTGTTCGCGTGGTCCAAATCTCTTTTTGGCAGGCTTCGCCTTGCGTCGGCCATAGCTGACTGCTGCCCCGCCGTCCTGTCCCGACGATACCGGCCCGGGAGCGGGTCGCTTTCTGCGACGGCCGGCAGCCTGAGATCCTTCCGGGACAGGAGTCTTCCTTGCAGGCGTGGCACTCTTTAGACGGAGATCTTTGCCAGCCGCAAGAGTGGCTACTTCCGTCGATTCCCCAGGCACAAGGCGCCGAGAGGGAGGTCGGCTGACGGGCGGAGTCGAGGTTTTGGCTTCCTTGGTTTGAGCTGCTGCTGCTGTGCTGGCCGCTGATGGTACGGGTGATGCCTTTTGAGTCTCGACGTTCACTGTGTGATCAGCCGTCTCGTCGACCACGGCCTCATTGTCCTCCACAGGCGTCTTGCTCATTTTACGGCGCTTTGCTGAGCTTCGTAGAGAACCACGAGTTTCAGAGTCTACTGGGGGAGCAGGTGCAGTTTCCGCGGCTACACTTTCATCCATCTTTCTCTTTTTCGAGGCTCTGCTTGGCTTCCGAGCGGCCAAGGATGACTCCACCTGAGATTGGTCGGGAGCTGCTGCGTCCGTGGCTCCAGACTCGGCAAGACGTTTGGCCTCAGCAGCGGCTGCCGCTTGTTCCCTGGCCATGTTTTCCCGTTTGAGTTTCTTCGCCTCGTTGAGTTTCATTCCACGATTGCTCAACTTGGTCTCCACCACGCCCTCGATGCCGTTCGCATCGCTAAGCCGCGTCAACATTCCCGGGACGTAATTGTTCATGATATCATCGCAATCAAGAAACTCGGTGCCATTGGCTTCCGCCTCCGCTTTGGCTTGCCGATAGGCGTCCCACCCTCGCCCCCGGAGAGCGAGTTCGCGGTGAATCATGACCTCACTAGGTTGCCAGACGGCGTTCTTCTTCATCTTCTTGCGCAGTTTCGTCATCTCCCATTCAGTCAAGCGCAGCCAGGGCAAATCTTCACTGCCAGGTTTGGCATCCTCCGGTGGGGGCTTGAGCATTGCCAGAGCATTGCTGGTCGACATCGCAGCGCCATGGCCATGACCGTTCGTGAGTGGAGCGGAGGTCCGTGATCGACGAGACTGTTTCTCCTTTTTGCCCTTCGCGACCGCAAGCTCCTCAGGCGCAGCAGTGCGAGTCGGTTTCGCTCCAGCCTCTACATCTGAGTGCTCGGTGCTAGCGATCGGGGAGTCCGGATGCAGGCCGGATAGGTGATCCGCAGCAAGCTTTCCCCGCCGACTCCTCGACCTTTGTTCTGGCCTTGCCACTGCATTTGCCGCACCGTCAAGCCGTAATTTTATGCGCGTTGTCGTCGGCGCAGCGGCCTCGCCCTTCTTTGAGGATCGGCCTCGCTTATTAAGCGTAGTCTGAGTCTCCGGAGGTGTAGGTTCGCGAGACTCCGGTTTCGGCAGTGCATGGAGTTTCTGCTTGATGCACTCCAGCCGGTTGAAGTGTCGATCGACAACGTCGTAGAGGCGACACGCTTCGGCATAGGCGGATTCGCGCGCGTTGATTGCTTGATCAAGTTGCGCCGAGATGTTTGTGCGGAGAGTCTGCGCGTCTGGGCGCTCGTGGGAGGGGAGGTCGGGGAGCTGGCCCCACGTCTTGGTGAGTTCGTGGACATTCTGTGTAGCCTCGAGGTAGCGCTCGTCCAAGCCACGTATGAGGGTGAGGGAACGGATCAGGTCGGCGGGGAGGTATTCGGTGTAATCTATGAAGTCGGTAACGGTGGCCTGCGCATCGGGGTCAAAGGGACCATCGAGAATGACGCCACCGTCTTCATCGTTATAGTCTGCCATAACCATGGCTTCCCTCTGAAGCTAGGAAGGCAACGAAGATTCGAGGAGACAGTAGCGACAAATGCAAGCTAGACGAGGCACGAGGTATGGTAGGGGGCTAGGTGGGTGGCACCATCCGTGCAGCCATGAAGGTAGCGATCAAGGCAGATGCATGGAATGTAGCTTCGAATGAGACCCAAAGAGGCTTGCGATCGACAATCTCAGTGGGAAAAGATGCGCAACAGGCACAAGGACTAGAGATTGATGCGGCGTTGTTGGCCACGACCGTGATTGATCAGCCGCGGTCTGGCAATGTTGTTGATCGGGCGTCGGGGAAACATTGTTCCGTGTACTATATTTATCTCCTGCTTCTCCCCGTCGCCGATTGTCAACAAACAGTCAACCGATATCAACAAGGGAAATGAATCACTTTTCTTGGACTGCTTCTGTTCACTGGTAGTTTATGATATGTCTTGACTAACGACATTTGTGTTGCTTGACGGATGGAGATATTGACTAACGGTTCAGGATTATATATCCTGATGATGATGGTTGATGAAGCGAAAAGTGTGACTTTTCAGTCAAGTGATACCCTCCAGCTCAAAGAACTGTCAAGAATTGGTTCCATTGAGAAGGTTGGGGATTCGAATGGACAATAGAAGAATGAAAATGAAGCCAGTGAAGCCAATGGCGAGCAGATACTTTGATAGCATCTGGGTTACTACGGGAGACTCGTGAGAAGAGTGAAGAGGATCTCCCAATGAGACAATCGAGACAATCGAGACAATCCAGACAATCCAGACAATAGCTGACTGATATTCTCTCATTATTCACTGATATCGAGCAAGGTAGTTAATATCATGTATTGGTTCGTGGTTGCCAGCACGCACTCGTTTGCTTGTCCTGGTAGGACAAACACTCTTGTCTTCCCAACTTTGCCATGCATTTGCTCCTCCCTCCGAGCTATCAACACTTCTTCCAGCTCACTTGTCCCCTTCAATCGTGTCAGTCATCCTAATCCAGCTTCGAAATGGACAGAACAGCACGCCTGAAGCTGCTCTTCAGCGAGGACGAGTCTTTGCTTCAGATCAACACCGGTCTCAATGCTGTATCTACATCTGACTCCAAGGCAGCTGAAGAAGCTTCCTTAACTGTAGTAACACAGGAAGAAGTGCAGTCAGAGAAAGACGACAAAGACTTGGAATCCAAAACTAAACTAGAGGAAACCGCTGAAGGGCTCGCCAAGAGCACTGTCCAAGAGACAGACGAGTGCAACGCATCAATGCAGACACCAGAGACTAGAGATTCCAGCACCCATAGTCAAGAGGAGCCATCAACACCACTGGATGGATTCTTCTGTCCCCTTATGGCTATGTCTAGATACCCCTACAAGTTCGTCCGCAAAGAACTGTCACAGACGGTAGCCAGCCGATTTTTCGACGGAGGGAAGTTCTGGCAGAGAGTCTGGGATCTGTGAGTTACCTGCCGTTACCACTCTGTATTCTGTCTACTGATGAAGAAATGTTGCAGATACTACGTCCATGTCTCTCCTCAGCTCAGTCCACGCCCACTGCTGCTCGTGCCTGCTGCTCAAGTCCGGAAATTCGTACAGGAAATTAACCGAGAGCTGGAAGTTACGCTCTCGATTCCGGAGGAAAGTGAAATGGGAATGATTTTGGACTTCAACCTGGACGGGGTCCCTCAACCGACGTTCATCGGTAAGTGTACAAGCCGGGAGACGAAAGATGAACTGGAAGCGACCATTCCTCCGCGCACCAACTATGAGCCCCCTACCGATATGGATGAGGCGCATCTCGCGTATGAGCAAATGATTGAGTACGGAATAAATGCATCGAAAAACAAGAGTAGGGGCAAAGCATCCAAGGCGAAGAAGCAGCAAATCCGGCTTCAGGCTGAAACAGAACTGGTACAAACTCGGAAGAAAATGCATTGCTACCTTGGTCTACAATCCTACCACTCCCTAGATCTTCCAGAACTTATTGACGAACGATCCTGGGAAGAGAAGCGAAACGACGACTGTAGCACGGCACAAAGTCTTGACGACAGTGACACCGGGATCCCTCGTCTCGATACGAATAATCCAGCGATGTTTTCATTCTGGAAAGAGCCGGTTTTCATCAGCGTTGACGTCGAATGCAATGAGCGTTGCCATGAACAGGTTACCGAAGTGGGCATTTCAACTCTGGACACCGTGGATCTCGTTGGCATCCCTCCCGGCGAGAACGCAGAGAATTGGACCTCCCGAATTCGCTCCCGTCACCTGCGAGTCCGAGAGTATGGCCATATTATCAACCGTCAATATGTGTCAGGATGTCCGGGAAGCTTTGAATTTGGCGAGAGCGAATGGGTGTCCAAAGGGAAACTGGCCGATGTAGTCCAGGCCTGCTTCCAACCTCCGTACTCTTTCGGAATCGAAGACACGGACGGTGTCCAGCTCGGCAGTGGCCCTGAGTACAAACACCAGCAGCGCAACCTGATCCTCGTGGGTCACAACACCTCGATGGACGTCAAGTATCTGGCAAGTTTGGGCATCCCGGTCTTTGAAAATGTCAGGACCGCCTTCCTGGAACACATCGACACTGCCGAGTTGTATCGTATCATCCGAAGTGAGGCAAACCAGCGCTCGCTGGCAAGCATCCTCGGTGAACTAGGAATTATCGGATGGAACCTACACAATGCAGGGAACGATGCTCGCTATACGCTTGAAGCGCTGGTGCGAATGATCTGTCGTGATACAGGCGAGGTTAGCGTTGCTGCTTCAACAGTGGAATAGGATTTCTGTTGGCAAAGGTCAATCTCCGCTCTATATGCAGTCTTAGCAGCTTGTACCCCTTGTATCCGATCAGCCAATAGTATCTCTACCGTGAATGTTGTTACTATCAGCGCAATGGCCCATGTCACAGTTCTATTTAGTTACTGCCGCCGTTATACAAGCAGAAACAGAAACATACTAGCAATTATCTCATTTGACCTTACCTCGCTCCACAGAGATCCATCGTAAGTGTATGCTCCTTGGTCAAACTCATGGCAATAAACCGCAGATATGTTATGTCAGTCTCTGTGCTGTCTATATCATGTCATAACATGACGTGTAGAATCGTCAACCGCTATAGATCAGCCTTAACAATGCAAGCAACTTCCTACACACCATCTCCTCCACTGAGCAGGTCCGTAGCTCTTCTCTGCACTGTCTAGAACATTAGATTTATTCAGATATAGATATTATTATTAAGGTACATTGTTCCTGACTAGCTGACTGGACTAGTATAGTTGCCAACTGCCGCCTGCCGCCTGACGTCAAACTGATAATATTAATGATACTGATAATGATAATGATAAGCTTCAGCCCCCCACCTTGCCCCTCCTGCCCCTCAACCAAATACACCCACAAAACCCCAACTTCTTCAACCTCACCACCTCACTTCCTATCGTCAAAAGACAAACGACAAACAAAATGACCACCCCACTAACAGTCCACCTCCTCAACATCTCCACCTGCCCCCTCTCCAACGCAACCACCCACCCCTTCCTCCAACAAGCCGGCCGCGGGCAGATCCCCAAACCGCTGCTCTCGCAATGGCTCTCCCAAGACCGCCTCTACGCGCAGTCCTACATCCGCTTCATCGGCCTGCTACTGTCCAAAATCCGCCTCCCGCCGCATAACCCGGACAGCTCGAAGCCTCGCACCTCGACAGCCGAGCACCGCGCCATGGAGGTCCTCATCGACGCGCTGGTGAACATCCGCACGGAGCTGCAGTTCTTCGAGGACACGGCGGATGAGTACGGGCTGGATCTGACGGCGTTGCCGGTCGCCATGGAGGACGAGGAGCGGGAGAGGGGCGAGTGCGTGCGCGGCGAGGACAGGCCCGAGGAGACGTACTTTGGCCCGAATCGGATCACGCAGGCGTATATCGATATGTTTATGTCGGCGGGGAGTGCGGCGACGAGTCTGCTGGAGGGGTTGGTCGTGCTGTGGGCGACCGAGGCGTGTTATCTGCAGGCGTGGCGGTTTGCGGCGTCGTGTGGGGCTTCTGGGAAAACTGGAGCGGGAGCCGGCCCGGAGCAGGACGCCGATGGGGGTGCGCTGCGGACGCGGTTCATACCTAACTGGACGAGTCCCGAGTTTGAGGCGTTTGTGCGGCGCATTGGGGATGTGGTGGATGAGTTGGCTGGGCAGATCAAGGGGGCCGAGGAGCGTGAGCATGTGATGGGTCGCTGTGTGCAGTGGTGGCGGCAGGTGGTGTGGTTGGAGGAGAGATTCTGGCCCGTCGTCAAGTAGACTAAGTTGCTCCAGTAGGGATAATTGGTAAAAGATAAAAGCAAATATCATTACATCTTGTCCTAATCATCGCATCGTCCAGGGCCCACCCCAGTACTCCGTACATGACAAAGCAAGCCAGCAAGCAACCCAACGCCAGTCCTTTTGTTCCTGTTGTAAATGCATAAATCCATCCCTTTGCGAAACCCAGGCTTCTATCCTGTGGACATGTAAAGAAAGACTCCGGACGGCCGAATGTGCTGCCAGAGCCCGACGCGAAGAAAGCAAAGCAGAAGACAAACACACAGCAATGTATCAGTTTGCAACATGTCAAACTTTTGAACCAGCAAATCTTAGTCGAATACAATCGGTGTAGGTGTACATAGAATACATAGTCATCCATTAGCGAGTGGATCAAGAGGTCGCTGCACTCGCGCGAGCGGCATTGCTCAGTTGCCGATGATATGATCCAATCGGCTGGAAGCCTCTGTATAGAGTCTATTAGTATCGGTCATTCACCAAATCAAAGCAGGTGAACGAACCTGGCGAGATCAAATCCTCCTTCGTCATCGTCATCCGCATCCGGCCCCGCCGGCCCCATCGGTCGCTCCGACTTGACCACCCCGTTGGCTCCCGGTCTTGCTTCCCCGAGATCTCCGGGCTCGGTTCGCAGGGGTGGAAGCGTCCGTCCGTTTCCAAGACCATTCGATGTCCCCGGCTTACTGGGACTGACCAGATTCGGCGGCGGAGGACTACTGCTTGGGAAATTTCCGATCCCATCCCCGACTTCGCCCTTGAGGGGACTCATGTCGGGCACCGGTCGCGCTGGGGTGCTGCCAATGTCCGCGAATTTCCAGAATTGCGCGGGCGAGCTCATCGGCATGAACTTGGACGGGACTTGGGCTGTGCTAGGAGGCGGAAGTCGAGGCTGCTGTCGCTGCGGGGCCGGCGTAATCATCGACGACGGGCCGTCATCGTAGTACGAGGACGAGAGGACCGGCGGCGAATTCACCACATTGTCAGAGAGTCCATAGGCACGAGTCAATGCGCTGCCAGCCCCATGATTCTTGATGGCAGAACGTGTAGGCAACGGAGAAGGCTCCTCGTAATCCCGAGCACTGGTGTTGCGCAGAGGATGGTCGGCACCACGAGCGATCCGCGAGCCCCGTTCCGGCGTGTAGGCCTCAACGGGTGCTACGGGGAACGAGCTGAATCCTGGGGAGGACACCGCCGGCGATTTCTTGCCGTTGAAGACGTTTTCGGACGGGTTGTTAGCACCCCGCGACACAGGCTCTTTCGTGGCAGGCGACGACGGCGCGGACGATTGTGTAGTTCCCTTTCGGAGCTGCTTCTTCCAGTACTCTTCGCGGTACTCCGCGGCAATCTGCCATTTCATTCCCTTTCCTGGCTCGTCTGTACGACGAGGAACTTTTTGGAACGCCTTGTTCAGCGACAGATTGTGACGGATGGAGTTCTAAAGTTTGTCAGTTGCGGGAAGCGTCGGTGAAAGAAAAAAATAGAAGATGACCTACCTGCCATCCGCTCTGAGAATGCCGGTAAAACGCGTACTTGTCCATGATCCAATTGTAGATGCTGTTCAGAGTGAGCTTCTCCTCCTCGCTAGAGAAGATCGCCTGCGCAATCAGAGTGGCGTAGCTATATGGCGGTTTCAAATCCTTCGCCGAGTCCTTGCTGTAGTCAATCTCCTCCGTACTTTCCATCATCATCCCGCGGTTATAGAGCGGCGACTGCTTGGCGGTGCGCGGACCGACGGTGTCTGGTGAGCGCGGCGGGGGAGTCACCTGGCGTTTGAGGAACTGCGGGGCGGGGGCAAGTGATGGCTGACCGCTGGCGCCGGCTGAAGCGGTCGCTGAGGTCTGATCGTTCATCAGGGCGCTCGACTGCGATGGCTGGGGATGCGAGTGCTGGGTGGGATCCCACGAGAGCAATTCTTCTTCACCATTGGCGATGCGCTGCGCGCGCGCCACAAAACTGGGATGGATATTGGCCTTGTCTCCAGGAGTGACGAACATCATCTGGGTGTTGGCGATCTCGATGATGTCGCCGCAGGAGATAATCGCATCGGTCCCGCGCTTCAGAATGACGTTGTTCAGCCGAACCCCATTGCGTCCATTGACGCGGATGTGCCAGGAAGGGGTCTCCCCGCCGTCATAGAAGATCTCCGCGTGCAAACGAGAGACGAACTTGCTCGGACCCAGATCGACATGGACATCCGGGAGGGCCCTTGCAGCGATCGTGACGGGACTCGACTGCTCATCCAGCTTCGGCTCGCGATCCGGTTCGCGTCCAATATTGACATGCAGTGTTTTGACGTAATAGGTCCAGTTGCGGCCGGCGATTTTTGCATATGCGCGGATACTCTGCGTGTTCTCGGTCTTTTTGTTCGAGTGGTCCCGTGCAACGCGCGCTTCCTCCCGGGCGACGTTCAGACAGGAGATGACCATGTCTACCAGATCCTGGTTGGCGGCCAGTTCATTTTCGGGGGACGAGTCGTCGGCCTCATCGGCGGATTCTTGCGCTTTGGCGGAACGGGCAGGAGGGGAAGGACGGTGATCAACCTGTGGGAGCAGATTCAGCAAACAAACTCATCCCGATCGCAAAAAAAAGCCTCCGTTTGGTCACTGACCTTGCGCTTCTTATTCGAAGGCCGAGATGGCGACGAGTCCGGAGCCTCCGCATCAGACGTTTCCTGTAGTTGGATTTCCTTGCGCCGCGCGCGGCGCCGATTCGATAGAGGCATTTCTTTTCGATATGTTTTGTTGATTTGTTGTGGTTTGGTAGGCTAAGCCGATGTAAACAAATACGTTCCACAAGGTTGATCGACTATCAACCACGAGAAATAGATGTACTTTGTTTTCGATGATCTCCAGCAACGGCGTAGGATGTAGCTTGGGAAGGACGAAAGTAGAGTCGGATAGACGGAAGCAGAGAAACAAAACAGAGAGGCGACCAAACGAACAGAAGGGAAAAACCTAAGCCGGGAAAATCCCAGCGTTCGTCGCAAACTCGGATGAACTGCGTGAGAAGAAAAGAACCCAAGGAACTTGATGACGGGTTTGCCACCGCGCAGAGAAAGCGACGCGATCTGTGAGTGGCTGGTGGGAGGGGTGGGAAGCCAGCCACTTAGTCGGAGGTAAAAAAAAAAAAAATAGAGGTGCGTTAAGTAAGGCTTACTATTGCCTTGAAAGGATAGGTTTAAGGAAGTTGGACAAAAGGGGGTTTTGATTAGACAAGGGTCTGTGTCCAATGTTAGGACAGGAAAAGAAATGAGTAGATAGGCAGAGGATGGGAAAAAGATGATGGTGGTGGTGATGATGATGAGATTGATGATGATGTTGCTCGTGATGGTTGATGGCGCAGTGACGATAACGCGCCGATGGTGTTTGGGGCGTGACCTCTTCCGCGTGGGGTAAAAGAATTCAATTATATCACCATTCACCTAGATACCAACATAGTATGAACTTGTTGATACAGTAGAACAAGTAGATAGAGGT